CCAGGAGCCCCTAGTAGCTTCCTTGCTCCTGGTAGTAAGGCCAGGAGTCCCTAGTATCTTCCTTGCTCCTGGTAGTAAGGCCAGGACCCCCTGAGCCCCTAGTATCTTCCTTGCTCCTGGTAGTAAGGCCAGGAGCCCCTAGTATCTTCCTTGCTCCTGGTAGTAAGGCCAGGAGCCCCTAGTAGCTTCCTTGCCCTTGGTAGTAAGGCCAGGAGCCCCTAGTAGCTTCCTGGCCAGGAGCCCCTAGTAGCTTCCTTGCTCCTCGTAGTAAGGCCAGGAGCCCCTAGTAGCTTCCTTGCTCCAGGAGTAGCTAGTAGCTTCCTTGCTCCGTAGCAAAGACAGGAGCCCCTAGTAGCTTCCTTGCTCCTGGTAGTAAGGCCAGGAGCCCCTAGTATCTTCCTTGCCCCTGGTAGTAAGGCCAAGAGCCCCTTGTAGCTTCCTTGCCCTTGGTAGTAAGGCCAGGAGCCCCTAGTAGCTTCCTGGCCAGGAGCCCCTAGTAGCTTCCTTGCTCCAGGAGCCCCTAGTAGGTTCCTTGCTCCTGGTAGCAAAGACAGGACCTAGTAGCTTCCTTGGTCCTGGTAGTAAGGCCAGGAGCCCCTAGTATCTTCCTTGCCCCTGGTAGTAAGGCCAGGAGCCCCTAGTAGCTTCCTGGCCAGGAGCCCCTAGTAGCTTCATTGTTCCTACGCGACAGGTCAGGACACGTCCAAGATTCGTGTAGCAGTTCGTTCTTTGGTCCAAACATAGCAGCTTTCGAGGGCGAGGAAGGAGAGGGGGTTGATTTGGTCAGGTGACATTGTTTTTTCTGGAACTGCGGTCTAGCTGGGTCAAAAATGGTCAAAAACATCACGATGTTGCTTGTCCTGGGAGAAAACATATGTTTTTTGTTAATGATTGTTTGAAAGTCTCTCATTTGGAGATGGTGTGTCTGGAGTTCCACCCCCAGCTGGGTCACTTCATGCGCTTGATTTGAGGCTGCCTTCTAGTCAACTTTGCAAGCAGGCGGCGACCTTTTAGGACATGTCTGAATTTGTTTGTTGGCTGCCTTTGATCTGCAAAGGCGACCGGCGACTGCATACGAATCCGTGATCTGCATGATGTCTCGCTTCCGATCGGCACATGAGCACTTTCACAACTCTTGTTCGGCTCTGTTCTCATTGCACATTAGCCAATGCCCAATAATCCTATAATTTTGCTGCTGAGTCAGAGGCCACTGATACTGCTTAGAGGTATACATACAGGTCTCTTCTTCGGAGAGTCCCCCAGTGCATGATTTACTGAATGGCTCCATACGCTCAATGGAGAGAATGGCTGCCCGCCGTCTACTCTCTACTCAATTGCTGTCAAACAGAACTCGCAACCCTTTTCCATCTTGACATGCTGAACGTGATCATTTCACGTCTATGCACAAGGGACCTTGCCTGCCTGGCACCAGTCTCTTTGAGAAATAGTGCCTTTTGGGAGGATGAAGGAAGGACCTTTCGCAACAATATACAGTAATCAAGGTTGAGCTTAGGTTTCAAACGTCATGCCAACCAAAACAAACCTCCAACAGCACCACTCAAATGCTGATTACAGTCCAACAAAATGTGACACACACACACACACACACGCACCATTACAGTAACTTTAAAAACTTTGGTCTCCCTTGCAGTTTCTCCATGGGCTGGATGTTCATCAGTGCCATATTCTGATCCTTCTTCAACTGCTCACCGATCATTTCAATGAATGAATTACTGTGTCCTTTAGGATCCCCCATTGGAGAAACCTTGAGGCGACAATATCAAAGCCTTCTTTGAAGACCGTATCTACCTCTCTCCCGTGATCTTCAGTCCAAAAGCCCCCTTGAATCATCTTGAATCCTGGCAGGTCATATATGCAATATCTGTATAGGTCAGATCAACACACTTTACTGCCCAAGTGCCAAGCAAGTGCTTGCATGAATGAGTTGACCAATCTAGAAAAGTAAAACATATATATATATATATATACGTGTGTGCATATATATATAGTTTTTGTTTATCTTAAACATATCTACAGTAATATTAACCACTGTCTTCGCCAAGAACAGTATCATCATGGTCCTTCTCCTCCCCCAAAAGAGAACCCTTTTAAGCTTCATGTACAGAAGAGAAACCCTTCAGAACGCCTCTAGGATACCTGGTAGTTGTTGAACCATCAACGACTATTGACTGCTTGGCAACAGGCACTGCTCGATAGACTGCTTGGCAACAGGCACCATGATCGATGTCGGATGCCGATGTCGGATGCCGATGTCGGATTGTTCTAAGGAAGCCGTGTGTAGGTCATGCCTACTCCAGTTTATATCAGCCCAATTGCTGTCGCCTTGCTGAGTGGCATGAAAGAAGCAACAGAAATGAATTGGCAAATGCCCAAACCTATTTGTATCAGAAGAGTCCGAACGCGGTCTCGTCCTTCTTTTCCTTCTCTGCCTTTACCTTTGCAGCGAGAGACTTGGACTTATTCAGTTGATGCCTAGGTGTTCCAAAAGACTTTGCAACGACGACACTTACAATACCCAATCTGCTTGAAGCCAACAAGAAGAGTTCAGAAGTAGTTCAATGCCACAGTATGATAGACTTGAAAAGCGAGAATTCTCAATCTCAACAGTGAATACCTTGTCAAGTCCAGCTTCAACCTGTGAGAAAAATATTGATGTATCGAACATCGTTGGAAAATATCCCAAAGAAGCGTCAGTTCCGACATCAGGAAGCATCGTCCAAAGGAAGAGACTCCCACCTTTTTCATGCCCACTGTAAACTCGTCTTGCCAAGCTGGACTTTCTTGAGGGCTCACCTGGCTCTGCGGGTTTATCATGCCAACAAGGTCCCAGGATGTCCCAGGATGTCCCCACTGTCATGTGCCAACAACATGAAAGGAAAATAGGCCGACATGGCGTGACGCATTTGGGATATATGACTCACTATGGGACCTTTCCTGGACATTGCTAGTCATCATAATACCAGTCACGAGATGTCACGAGTGACTTCATGCATGATGTCACGAACGCTCTCTCGCATGATGGCGATCTCGAAGCCCAAGCTTCAGTGGAATATGTGGAATTGCTTTGGAATTCTCGGGTCCTCTTTGGTCGTCATTCGACCAACTGAACTGCGCCTCCCAGCCCCAGACTGAGCCAAGCCGTGCGGAAAGAGCATCTGCTTTGGTCATCTTTGCGGAGTCCAGACCTTCATACAAGTCTCATCACAAGCAATAGGAGAGGCCAACCAAAGGATGTCCCTCAACCTCTCCTTGCTAGACGTTTTGCGAATCAGCAGATCTGGACTGTCCAAAATGGCAAACACACAAAAAAAACAGTTGGAGCATGTTGGAGCTGTGTCCTCTCAATATTTCTTGGCTTGGAGAAGAACAGGTGTGTGCCGGGGGTCGGGCAACGAGTCCCAGGTTGACGCTGCCAGTCAAGCGCAGAAAAAATTCCAAGAGCGCATCAGCCAAGCCACAAGAAAGTACAAATCCAGTAACAGTAGTTGCCGCCCATGTGTTCATCTTCCAGACATACAAAAGGGGAGTCTTTTGGTTTGCAAAGCAGGTGAGAATTGTCATGAACTTGCCGTGCCACCACACATATCACTCCAATTTCAATAATCATGGAAGTGGATGGCATGGCCCCTTGAAGGACAATTTTCCTCTACAAACATGGTTTTCCACTTCCATGAGTATTTCAGAGAGTGCACCAGCAAATTTCCCAACCAGTAACTAGCCTTGCTCTTTTGCCATGCGCCGCAAAGCACCATCCTTGACCTGTGTCCGGGGGTCCGGAAGCGAGGGGAGAAAATTCGATGGGCAGCCTGCAGCTACTCTGTTGATCCGGTTGCTCCTATACAATTACCTTGGTTTAGCAGTAGATGCCGCAAGCCACAAAATGTCCTGAAAAAGAGGGAGTCCATATAAACCACCTTTTGAGGATGGTGCCATCTACTCTCAATCCACGACCATTGAAAAATATCAACCTGCGACGCCGTCTTCGCGAACGACGTCACTCGACACCGTCTTCGACCGGTCCGTTCCTTTGACCGACACGCCGCTGGGGCGCTGACCCAGAGTTTCTTGGCAGGGCCTTGTTCGAGGATTCGTCCCAAAGCCATGACAGCCACCTGCAGGGACCGCACGGCGACGGCTGCTTTTTCAGGAGCGCTGCCCTTTCACGCGCTCCTAGTTCGCCGTGCTTTTTCTCTCGCGCGGCACGCAGAAAAGCACGGAACCGCTTCCGGCGCGAGCTGAACGCGAAATTGAACACCTTCAATAGGCCGACAGCATCTGATTTATCTGATGATATCCTGATGATCGATGATGATCATTCTTGCTTTCAACTCTTCGAACAACACCCTGCCCCGGATGTTTTTTTGACCTGTACAGCGAGGCTGGGCGAGGCTGGGCATCTCAGAAGACCCACCCGTTGCTTCAATGAGCATCAATGAACCAAAAACATCCAAAAACGTCGTCGCAGTTGCTGAAAGTGCCCCGCGCCTCGTCGTAGAGCGGCGCTTGCTGCACTCTGCGACTCACCTCGGTACGGTCCCGTGGACTCCGTTCCTGTTGGTTTCAGGAACGCGGAGACAAGGGGCGGAAGAGTCTTCGAAGAAGATGGAAGCTGTGAAACCATCAGATCCATGTGTTTTACATGGTTTTGCTGCTTGATCTCGAGGCTTTTGCCTGCATCACTGCGACAGCAGCGCGGCGGCAATAGCGGAGCACAAGCGCAGTAAGGTCCTGAGAAGCCATAGCTGGTACTGTCACTCCCCAGTCTTCTCGGTTTAAGAGTCATACCGAGTCATACCATCCATAAACCATAGAAAACCTCATAGTAATATCATCCATCCATAAATCATACCTGGAAACCTAGAAAAGAAACTCTAAACAAATCCGACCGAACGTCTCAGCATCAGACCGCATCCGAGGACGCACTCAAGCGACAGGTGGTGGCATCCATCAGAAGCAGCTTTGACCGCCTCAGCACGACCGCTCACTCCGTGCCAGACCACGTCCTGTTTGGGCACAAAGCATGTCCTCCGTCAGGTGACTGGGTGAAAGTCGAATGTGAAATGCGTTCATCACCTCCCAGCCCATCACTTCCCACGTTTGTCAGATTGATATGCATTTCATATGAGCGGCGATCTAAGCCTCGTACCAAGACTAGCATGTTCAAACATGATGTCTAGCCTCCCTTAAGCTACATAAGGACAGGTTTTGATTCAATAGGGGCTCATATCATTTCATTCATTGGTGCTTTGCCCACCATGCCCCACCCACCAAAAGCCCAGAAGCTTCTGGAGCAGCCTCAGCATTGCCCGGGACACACCCAGCAAGACAGCGGCAGCACCATGAGGAGCGCCCCCCCTGGCAGACTGTGGCAGTCACTCACCAGAAAAGGGATGCAAAAATTGAATACTCATGTACATCTCATCTCTACCTGTCTGTATAGACTTCATGTGATTTCTCACAGACTCACAGGGAATCATAGAAACAAAAAAAGCATCTGAATTCGTCCTCGTTCCGGGAGAACGTGTTGGGTCCCATTGAAAAGATGCTGTGTGGGAATTTGGAGCCGGCCGTTGTGTCCTACAAGCATCCACTTCCGAAGGTTTTGGTCAGCTCAGAGACCTCCTCCAGTGTCTGGTGAAGCCCATCTGGCCTGAGTCAACTATTCGCGCCATGAGATGGGGGCATTGATGGGCATTGTCTGCATTGTCGTGGCACTGAGAAACAAAGGGTTGTTTTTTCAATATGGCAACCCATAGGAAATGGATGGAAATAACATCCATTTGGGGAAACATCCATTTGTTTCTGGTTGTTTGGTGCCGGACTCTGAGAGTCCTTCCTCCTTTGTGTTCCTTCCGATGAACATGCATCCTTGCTGAAGGACAACTTGTATCAGTAAGCTTCTCCGCTTCTCCTAATCTGATCATTACACTTGACATTGCCCAGTGGCTTTCATTTGTCTGCCCAGGTTGTAAACAGTTCGGGGAATCCAGCAGAACCTAACCACTGACAGGACTGCTGAATTCTAACAGTTGCTCTCAGGACTCGGACGCATGGCGCAGCATCCAATTCTCGAAGCGAGTCAAGCGCAAGACCATTTGCACCTCCTCCTGTGAAAGAAGGGAAGTGCCAAGCCGTGCAATGGTTCCGATGCTCAAGGATGCAGTGTGCGCATCGGCATGAGGCATCGGCATGTGCGCTATGTCCAAACTGACTTGGTGCTTTAAACGAGATAGCCTCCTTGACCGCGAACCTGAGAACCCCACCAACCCCACGAACGATATATACCGTGAATGAATGTGTTTAATGAAGCCAGAGTTCATCAAACAACCCGGTGTATCAGCATCCAAGATCATACAGACATATCGATGCAAACGCATGAATCAGTACTTGTTCCAGCTACAGTTCATGCCTCACGACCTGAACCTTTTTCCACGGACACGGACTGGAACGCCTCAGAAAACTCCTCCATGGGGTCCAAGTTTTGAAGCCAAGTCCCGCGATAGAGGACCAGCTCCTGCGGCGACATCGTCTCTATCGTCTCTCACGATAAACCAACGAGGAAGATCAGCGCAAAGGCTGGGCGGCTGGACCACGCGTGACCTGGGTTTTCTGGTTGGGGGGCGTGACCTGAAAACGCCTCTCGACCCCGAGCTGCCTTTTTGAGCCACTGTGAGGCTCCTTAGGTCACACCGATCGTCACAAGAAGTAGGAAAAAAGTGTGCGTTCTTGTCGCATTCCTTGCTTGCTTCTGATGCTCTCAGCTCTTGCTACTACAACAGGCGGCTGCGCAAAACGAGAAGGGTCTCCTGAGGCACCACAGCGACACGACCTGTCATCGACAAGGGGGAAGTCCCAACCCATTCAGCTTGGAAGACGAATCATGAAAAACACGATGAACTGGGTTGGCAAGGGCAAGGGTAAGACACCTTGGGGCATGGCACCTAAAGGTGCCTTGCCTATAAACTGGCACGGTTTTCTACTGGCAGCAACTGCACGCAACGCCGCAAGATGTTATTGCAAGTCTAAGGGGATCAGGGGATCCCATTTTTGTCTGGCAACGTTGTCTGCATTCGACCAAGAATTGCTTTGAAAAGGGGGCCCGCACCTGGTTTCTTATGGTTTCTTTGGTCATAGGACCAAAGAAAAAAGGGAGACTGGTGACCAAATGGTTCCAGTTCCAGTCGTAGGGTTTGGTCAGCACTGCCCTCCTTCACAGCTTTTGCCGAGCTGGATGGGCAAAGGGCGTGGAAGGACATGTTCATTAGCTGGCTTACATACCTTTTTCACTGGGTTTCAAAACTGCCGTCTGCCTTCCTTCCCGACCGCTTTGGTGCGCATTCTGCGCAGAACTGGCCGCTTGGGTGTGGCGGAACACGTTCACCTCGACCTGACCTCTCTATTTCAAACCTGGATAATCAAGCAACTCACCTAGACAGGATCGCAGCCCCGCAGCGATCCAAACGTTTCGCATGCGTGTGCACAGCTTGGCCCAAAAATAGGGGTCAGCGGCACGCCGGCGTTGGCCCGTTCTGTGGGTGGCTGCTTGTTGTCCGTGTAAAACTCCCGGTGAACTTCTTGCAAATCAACCCTTCCCTTCGCACCAATCCATCAGTGCCATGTGTGTGAAAAGAGCATGAGGCATGACGTGTCTCAGGGCCTGGAGAGCCTAGCAGCGCCGTTTCGCAGCGCACGTACCGCATGGATTTGAGTTTCGTTGATGCTCCACCCCTGTGGCGAACTGGCCCTTTTCGGCTGCGTGGGGCTTGGCATGCTCGGTCGCTCAGCGATGCGTCGTGACGCAGCGATGAAATCACTCGCCTCTCAACTTGTGTGAAAGTGCGACTCAGCGTGCATTGAATTGAAGATGGGCCAAGCACGAACTTCTCTCACAATGCTGACATGCTTTGAACAACAGTTTTCAAGCTCTGGGGTGACAACGTACCTGCGAACCGGTGTTTCTACTTCTAGGAGATGTTGCCAAACAAAGGTCTCCATATTTGTGGCACAAATTTAACTTTGGGGTCAGCCCCCTATCATAGCAGTACAGGCCTATCCCACTATGTTTTAATTTCCCAGCCCATCTTCCCTTGCCATTGAATAATTTTGTGGCACCTCAGTTAGTACCTCATGCAGAGTCTTTTCCGGAAAAAAAGCTCACGCGGATAACCTTCGCAGAGCAGGCAACTCTTGTTTCTCGCATCATATCCACGTTCGATCTATGACTGGCTACAGCCGTCACACTTTCAGCTCAAGTTGTTGCACTGTTCCGCAGAAGTGCAGGTGGCTGGAATCAGGAAAAGAAAAGGGTTGCGTTCCATATCTCTGAAAGGGTCCAGATCTCCGTGGCTGGCGATCCCTCAAGTTTCAACCACTGGTGAACAACTCTAGGTTCAGATTGAACTTCGTTGGAGCGCCCTGCAAAAGGGGGGGTTGCACAATGTTGAACATACTTCCTAGTGGTCCGTTCCAAGGGCTGGGCTGTTGTTTGCCCTAGGAGTCGCCTTCGTTAAAAAAAACAAACAAAAAACGTCACCTGAAGGAACGGTTTGGAGAGTTTTGCACCGCGTGGTCCACGCTATTGGATCGCACCCCAAGATGCTTGGTCCGGTTCGGACGCGCAAAAGAACCACCGCGTCCGATTCACTGCGTCGGTCGCGTGCCGAACATCCAGCACGCTAGGTCTTGAAACAAACAAACTGCCTTAGTACTTAGCACGAGAAGTAAGTCGGACTGGTCACCAGGTTCCAAGTGAATCTTCAGCGGTGTAGATGGGTCTGGAACCAAACGAAAGCTGATGCAGACCTTCCTGGACCTTCCCAGTCGATCGGATGGTTCCTTGTGATTCGCCGAAAGCATAATCATTTTGATCCTCCCTTCTAAACATGCCAACCCGTTCAGTTCCTTTCAAGGGCCGTTTAACCAAATCGAAGGATATATATATATATATAAGAGGTTCCCTGAAAGGGTAGGCAACGAGGAGTGCGGCTGTGCTGGCGCAGCAAACGCCTCTAGGTTACAGCTGCCAGCACATTCCCATGTCATGTGCAAGCGTGGCATATAGTAGCCTGCGCAGCCGAATGACAGCCGAATGACAATATACCTGTCACTGACTGCAATGAACGATTGATAACAACTGACCATGTTGGTGTTGAAAAGCTCGGTGGACACCTACCGAGTTGGTGGAAATGACTGTAATTGATTACATATTAGTATTTATACATAACTGATTGACCCCATATGACCCCAACATCTCTATTGACTTGCGAACAGAATGTTAAAGTATCACAGGCCTGCTTCATACAGAAAGCCATTGCGATGGGGCCGTTCCGAACGCCCCTGTAGCGCTATCTGCAGAAGTAAGACTGTTGGATGGCCAATCCTTGAGGACATTTTCATCATCAACCTCCCCAAACATGTGGAACAGCAGCAGCCACACCACTGATAGGTGTCCATTGACAATTGCCTTGGATTTACTGATACAGGGTCCTGAAACCACTGCATATTTCCCACTCGAAGGGAATCTACTGGGAAAAAAGTAAAACATCAAGCACTTTGAGCAAACTGAGGTTGCAATGTGCAATGCTGTGGATCCATCATTTGCAGCCTTGTCTTTGTCGGCTCCAGCTGCCACCAGCAGCTGGACGGCTTCCAGGTTGTTTCTTTCTGCTGCGAAGTACAGCGGCGTCGAGCCAAACGAATCTTCTTGGTCATGGTTTGCCCGGGCTTCTAGCAGCAAACACATGCATTTTGAATTGCCAGCCCATGCTGCCGTGTGTAGTGCTGTCCAGCCAAAATCCCCTGTGATGTCTGGAGCTATTGGTTTCTTTAGCAGGGCATCCACCTCCTCACAGCGATTCCCGGCACACACCGTGATGAGCTTCCTGTCTGTCACGTCCGGTGGCTCGAAATCCACGACAAGGAGCTGCACCATTGAGGGAGGAAGGATCTCCTGGTCTGAGACCTCCAACCTAATAGCAATGGCCTCCAACCCAATAGCGATGGTCTCCGACCTACTAGCGATGGCCTGAGAAACCTACGAGTACTAGCAAAGAATCTCCTGGTCAGAGACCCCGGTGACGAAACAAAAGCACTTTGATCGGGGTCATTCGGGGTCTCTGAAAAAGAGGGCCGGAATACATTGGAGATCTCCTCAACCCAAAAGCCCAGATGCTTTCGTCCGCAGATCGACGTGGCACAAGACATCGCCGCAAACTGTTTGCGCACGAGAATCTCGAACGGGGTCACGAAAAAGCATTGGTCACTGGTGTTCTATCCGGTCTGCCAGCACCAGCCAAGGGGTGGTTGCAAGGATACATGGTCAGGGGCCACGGGTGTGTATAGACTATAGACCATTCAAACCCACCCTTTCCGTGGTGCTGGTGTGCTTCTCCTTTCATCAGATCTCTCATCAAATGAGATCTCTCCTGGTCGTCCAACGCTCGTGCGAGATCTTCCGGAAAGCATCTTTGCTGGAACCTGGAAACTCCAATCCTCAGTGGGGAGGCCGAACGACCTCGACGGGGACGACCTCTGTCCTCTTTCGGTCCGCTGTCCTGTCCCACCAACAACGCCACGAACGGCCACGAACCAGATACGATGCGATTCGATAGCATGAGATCACGATACGACACAAACGTGATCCATGGAATTGGATGGCCAAGCTTTCACCTCACTCCACACCATCTCAAGGGTCTCCTCCAGTGCGAAAGTCATCGGAAAAGCCGTTTGAGCGGTCACCAGCGAAAAGGGAAAGTGGGCCAAGACTTAGTTGCTAGTTACAGACAAAGAACATCAAAGAACCAAAAGCCATGAAAGGCGTTGACAAAACCTTCACAATCTTTCACAGTTTTGCCCCACAACGATTGGAGCTCTTTGGAAGCTTAGCTTTTCAGAATGCTAGTTCCTGGATCAACCAACTATGCGCCTCTTGAAACCTGAGCCGCAAAGTAGAGGCACTAGCTTGAGGGTAAATCGAATTGGAAGAAAAAAACTGACGAACATGCCAGAGGCGAGGTAAGACATGGTATGACATGCGGACTACTTACTATAGGGTATGTTACTCAAAAGGTGTTTTCTTTGTGTTGAAAGCTTCTTTTGCTGCCACAGTCCAAGGGGGCACTAATGCACTACCGGATCGACTACCGTTTTCAGCACTAGTAAGGCACCTGTTACTACTAGCATAACACCTGTTACTACTAGCGTGGCACTTGTTTCTAATTAGCTTCTTGTTACTATACTAGTAAGGCACCTGTTACTAGTGGAACTTGGTTTTACTAAACAGGTTTTGGCGTCGTCGTGTGTCGTGATAGGTGGCGCGCCTTCACCTCTTGTGTTGTATTGCGTCATCGTGTCTCTTCTGTGAACCTGATCGTTCCTGAGGGTTTGGACACACCTACGTTACATGTCAAACCTTATCGTGTTTTTCTTGTGGACCTTATCGTTCCGAAAGGTTTCCCTAATTTTACTTACTTAGTTTTCACTGTAGTGATGCTGCTTTCATCGGAGGTTTTGGCAGTTGCATAATATGTTGGTCAATGTTTCCTTGACTCTGTATTGTATTGATAAGCACATGCGACTGAAAGAAAGGCAGATTCGGCGGCTTTTCATATAGTGAAAACACAAAAGATCACAAAAGCAAAAGAAAGCAAACTCTGTTTGAGGTATCAATGGTAGGGGGTCCAAGTGCGTTCTCTAGACCTCACTGTGCGATCAAAAGTGGTGTAACAATCAATTACAGAGGAGAATCTGCTTGGCCAACATCGTCTTGAGCCATTGTACCGACTTGCCTTCCACCTGCTCCACGGCAAAGGTGGCTACGGCTCTGCCAGTCATCGCCCAAAACACACGAAACATTGTTCGTTCCATTGGCGGTTTCTCATCTAAACCTTAAACCTGAGCCGAACGGCACAGCAGAGAGCAAAATAACACCTTTGAAGTTTAGCTCAAACAGCTCCGGGAGACTGTCTGGAAGACAACACACATGGTCCAGCTTGCACATGACCAAATGGGAAAAAAGTCGAAGATGACTAGGTAGACTAAGTTCCAAAAAAAACTGATAACAGGACATGGTCTGCTTCATGTCACCTTGTCTCCAGCAAAAAGCCCAAAAAGCCCCCGGCCTCGAAGCGTGGACAGCCCCACGGAACGAGTGTCAATGCCGTCCACCAGCACACGGCCGGCCTGAGGTCGGTCTATATAAAAGGTGATTGGCTGTGCGAATTCAGGGGGTCCACCCCATTTGATAGAAATGCACTTCCCCTTCAAAGGTCTTTGAGATTGATTGATCATGGTGGCTCCCCCTTTAGTGTGGCCCCCTTTGAAATAAAAGGTGTCCAAATAGGTTTCTTTTCTCCGAGATCGTCTGAGCATGTCTGAGCCAAGAGTGTTTGTGTGAAGAAACATGGTCGAAACTCATCTTCACATCTGACATCTGCACATCTGACACCTTCATCTCTCACGCCTTCACATCTCCCAAATCTAACATCCCTCGCATCTTCACGTCTTATTCTTTCTTCTATATAATATGTCGTTCTTACGTTGTGAGCGTGGAATGCCCGAAAATGTGGTGAAATGCGTGTTGACTGCTTAAAATTGAGGGTGACATGCGCATCTGCACCCGACCTAGGAGTCCCTAGTAGCGTCCTTGCTGCCCTTTGCTCCTAGTAGCTTCTTGCTCCTAGTAAGGCCAGGAGCCCCTAGTAGAGTCCTTGCTTCTAAGCTCATTAGCCTAGAATACAGTAACCCCGTTTGCTGGAATCTTGCGTTGAGTGCCCGAAACTGTGGTGGTTTTGTCCGAATTTGAATTTGCCCGGCGCCACTTTTTGCCGGCATCGTGTGTGAAGTGAAGACCGCATTTTGCTACTGAACGTGCAATTGTCGTCGAAGTTGGCTCATAAATGCTCAAAGTCTGTGAGATTGTTGTCGAGAATGAAAGGCTTCAAGCTTGCAACTTGACCGCCTGATGTTTCTTAATGTTTAAGGTCTTTTTCGGCACGCTGTGGGCTCTAGGCCCTACGACCTTGGCCGGTCTCGCGTCCCCTTGTCCCCCCCGGTCTGCCCACTCTCTGAGCGATTCATCGTTGCCAACGTGTGAATCTCGCTGTGCGACGCGGTGGCATCGTTGCATTCGCGTTGGTGGGTTCGGGCATGTGCGTGGCGTGGAAATGGACCAAATGGACACGTGCACAGTGCCGGTCTTGCGGCCTGTCACTGGTTTTCGTGGGATGATTGATGGTAACGAGGCTTGGTGTGGCAATCGGGACACGGTGTTTATCTCGAAATGCATTCAATGCCAATATCCTGCAATGTCCTCACTCACATCTTAATCAACTTGTTAACATACCTTCTTACTAAATCTAGCATCTCTCTTTGCTCTCGGGCCATCTGTCGAATGTACACAGCTTTCTCCTGTTCGCCTCCTGCGTCTCCGGAGCCAGGCGGAGCAGGGTGCGAAGCAGGGTGCTCTTGCCACAGCTTTCTTCACCAACCACCAGGAGAGCCTGGCTCGCGCTGATTTCGATCAGAAAGCTGATTGGGAAATTCATGACTCGAAATACACGTGCCACACGGATCAGCTACCTTCACTCTGATAGGATGCTTCACTCTGATAGAATGATATCATGAATCATCCAAAACGTCCCCCCACGTGGCAAAAATTCATCTTTCCTCCAGCTTCGGCCCCTCGCCTTCCCTGCAGGTACCCGCAAAGAACACTCTGACACAGAAGGTGACAACTCTGTGGAGTACCTCGCCCACCCAGGCGGCCCCCCCACGCAGGCTGCTTTTTTTTGCATTCCGTATCCAAGGGATTTCAAACATCCCGTGAATGTGCGGAATGATTCAGAATGATCTCAATACCAAACAGGGTAGGGCAAGTAAAGTAGGGACTTTCCATGATCTGAATATCAAAGGTTTCTTCCCCCTTAAAGACATGAATCATTGATTCCATTGATCGTTGAAAAGGTCAACACGACGACCGCCACCTGCAAGAGAAATGACCGTCACCTGCCTCACCGTTACGTCTTCAAATTCCACGGCTCCAAAATATGGCCAGTCTGCCGGAACCTGGAAGAATATCTGATTGGACGTCTCAAAACCCATCTGTTCAAGTCCTTGTTTTGGTATTGGTTGCTTTTTCATTTATTTTTTTTTAAGGTACACGCTACCTACACTCTTTCACAAATTCAGATGTTTTCAGCCTCAGATATCTCAGATAGACTACAGAGCCGGTTTCTCCCCCATGACCACCTATCCACGCCTTTTCGACAGGAAAGCCGACCACTGAAAATGATTGCTCCTTCCAAGTCAAAGTTGCTGCACTCTACTGGGAGTTGGAATTCCATCTATACAAATCTGCACAAATCTGCACTACTTGATTCAGCACATATGGCAATCGGCCATCCATGTAAAATGAAAACAGTCGCTCGCATGGTACCACCACTCTAATCATACAAAGGTCGGTCGAGCGCCCAATCGGCCCAATCCTTCTTGGACTTGATCACATCTTCAGGCAGCTCATTGTCAACCATCAAGTCACCCAATGCAACCTGGCGAGTCCATGAAGCAAAGGTTAGGAATGGTCCCAAGCCTAGGATCCAAAGAAATGGTCCAACATGTTGTTCCTTAAATTAGTGAACGGAGAATCATCGAGTTGCCACCCCAAAAGATATACCAGAGGCAGGGCGAATTAAATCAGGTCCTAGCACTGGGATGACGCACAAATCGGAAGCATCAAATAAGTGTACCATGTGTCGCGGCATCGCAACATCTTCGAAGCATCAACATGATGTAAGTTATAATGAGAAGTACTTGCAACACTTCCAGAAAAAGGTCATACTTTTATAGACTTATGTGCGATTCCTTTGCGACTCCTCCTGCTCATCCACTTCTTTTGGAGACGGCTCTGAACGATCCCCGGAGCTCTCTCCGGTCTGTCTCCGGTTCTTCGCCTTGCCGCTTCGAGCCCGATGAATGGGCTGACCGAGGCCTCGAGCAGCGCTTCAGGCGAGCGGCGCCGGAAATGGGGAAACGAACACCAAGAAACGTGCTCAAGCAAGGGTGGCCCCGGTGTTTTCCTGTCTTTCGTTCCTCTTATGCTTGGATCCTCTGTCATTCTTTTGCACCAACAGCTGCTGAAGAGCAAGGCAGCCTCGTCGGTCTGTGGGCAGCTCGCCCCGCGAGACACTGAAAATGGGACTCTCGAGCTCCTCACTCTGAGTCTCCTGGCGGTGCACAGAGGATAGGCATCACACCTTCATGAATGTTGCATGGCAAGCGAGAAAGACAACGGACGGACCACTTGTCTTGACGGGCAAAGCCAAGCCTAACATTGTGTTCTTAAAGGCGAAGCCTACTTATATGCTGAAACGGAATTGGCAAATGCATTAACCTTGCTAGGCGTTGTCTCGCATACAGCGACTCACTCAATGAAACGAGCTGCATGAAAAAGAGCCACCAAACGGATCAGGAACACGATGGGGACGTCTTAGTGGCTCTCAGCCCAATGCTCAATGCTCATGAAAGCTCCTTTGAGTTTCAAGCGATTGGGGCTGGGACGTAAACGTCTTGGAGACATGGCTGTGGCTCGAAAAATATCGCAGGTGCGCCAGATTGCGTAGGGGATTTGCCTCTTCCTCAATTTGCCAGGTGGGTTTGAGGTGACCCTGGACCATACCACAATGTAGTCAGGTCAGTGTCCAAAACACCACCACAGCCCCAGTGTATAGCCCAAACTTGCTTACCGCCATGCCATGGATTTGGAGCCTTGCCTTTCAACCTGACAGAAGTCCGGAGCGTTGTCAGGTCATGTCGCTTTCCGAGATGCACCTTCAGGTTCTGCGACGCAAATGTTCTTGCATCTGGGATCACCAAAGAACTCATAAGAACTCTATGCGGAGTATTGTGGAAGTTCGAGTGCACTTGCAGTGGCACCGCTGCATTTTGAGGATCTTTGTGACGATGGCTCTTGCGGCTTCACGCACCAATCCGGTCAAGCTGGTGGTCGTTGATTTTTGTTGTTCAAGTGAATCTGAGGACGACAGTTCTGCCTTGCACTGCTGGTGGTCGTTGATTTTTCGATGGCTGCCTTGTCATGCCTTATGCTTGAGCAGCTTGAGCTGATGCATCCTCAAGAACTGCTCAGAAAGCTGGACGATGCTTATTGCTGGGTGCCTAAGGTGATTCGGTCAATAGTTGTTTGTCTACACCGCACGTGGCAGCTGCAATAATTGTGCTTGTCCGCGGCTTCCTACTATTATGGAAGGAAATGAAGCAGCCGACAGGGCAGGCCAAAATGCCAGCTTGCGTTCGAGAATGCACAGCTGTGCGTCCTACGAGCAGTGTAAAGCACGCAGTTTGTAAAGCACGTGCATGCTGCAAATTGCAAGTGGCCTTTGATTCAGTGGGGCATGTAGTGAAGAAACTTGCCTTTATAACATTCCATAAGCCTGAGAGGAATTTACTTCTCATTTCAGAGTTGTTTCTTGCTTCGTTGTCCTTGAAAATTGCTTTGCGTTGCCATAGCGTCGCAAGCCTGTGTGTGCCTCTTTTCAATTGTGCGACTTGTTTGCCTAGCAAGGGCCTGCCGGAGATGTGTGCTGGGAAGGAGACTGTCTACCAGTTCGAGGCCATCGCTGATAGGTTGGAGGCCATCGCTATTAGGTATATGTTCTATTTTATTGTCTTCTCTCGTCGATTCCAAAATCATCACCAGTCTTCTTGTTCTGAACCCCACCTTCACGAGCTGGTACATTCGCCGAAGAGCTGCCAAACCATGAGTGGAGAGACCCTCGGCCCAAGGGCTGCTGGGCACGCAAGGCTTTGGCGATCTCATCATCCAAATCCTGATTTAGTTTAAGCGTAAGTGCAAGCCTTAGATGAAAAAAACCCTACAAAGCTCGTGTGGCTTCAAGTTAGCTGTGTTTCGACATGGGAGCTACAGACCTGCAGCATCCATCCAGGAACAAGAGTAAGTGTCCATCCATCCAGGACCAGCATCCCTAAAAATCTAGGAACCAATCATTAGTGCGCTATCCTGCGTCCAGTCGGTAGTAGTTTACTTGTAGGTAGTAGCTACTTCTAGCTATTCGCTACCTCACCTCCTGGCGGCCTCCACCCCCGGGCTTGAAAAAAAAAGATCGAAAATATGATGTGTCAGAGATCAAACAGCTTTGGAACCTGCATCGTTCACCTCTTGGAAGTGATCAAAAATACGTCCATTATCGTCCATTCACCTTTTAGCCAGCTATTTCAGTTCCGCGGGAGTGAACTAAGAGTAGCCATTCGTCGATCAGAACCGCAGGCAAGAGAGCTAAGCCAGAATCGATCAAATGAACGTCGATCAAATAATGCTGAGAGAGGAACAGGTGTAATGAGCCAAAGAATTATGGAGAGATTTGCCAAGATCTGCGGCTTTTCGAGCTCATCTGAAAGCAGCGAGGCCAGGCTGGCCCGACACACCCCAAAGAGGCGAGTGCCGTTGCCAAATCACGAAACGAATTGGTGCGAAAGTCATGTCAACGAGGACCATGCTGGACAAAGCCAGATCCAAAGCTTAAATGAGATCTTAACAGTGATGATAAATGAACAGTGATAAGTTGAGATAACATGAAAAAACAAAGGTAGAAGGCCAAGTCAAGAATCAAGCTGAAATTGACTGCAAGGGAGGCGAGGGAGGTCGGGGTTGGATTTCAGCTTGGTCTGCTTCAAACTGAATATGTACTCCGAGTTGGGTGTTCGCTTGCTTCCCGTTTGGAGTGTCCCCTTCCCATCTAAGGAACGCCATACTTCACCAACTCCACGACAGCATCCGGTAGAACCGCCACCTGTTCTGCAGAAATGACAGGATCGATGTAATTCTGAGTTTTGTCAATAAACCATCTGAGTATTAATCAATTACACAACTCCCCCCGGAAGCCGTCCAATGTGTCCACTATGAACATGTCAATACCATTCTATGCTATACAAGTCTCAGTCTAATGTAGTGAATGTGAATCGACCTGCTGCCTTCCCATCCCTTTCAGGCAACTCCAACACCGTTCAAGGCACAACAAGGATGGCGAATGAGTGAATATCTGTGATGGACTGGCACTTACTCAGGCATCCAGTATAAAGCCCAATAAAGTTCTTCCTTCTCCTTGAAACTGGAACTAGAAAGTGGCTGATTTCCCTACTCATGCAGGATACCTCCAGCAGCTCATGAAGCGTGCCTAAAGAGCGATGTATGCGCAACCAAAATAGTACAAGATTCACCTTTTGGACGTGTCTCTGAAAACCAACATCAAAGTGGAGAAGTACAAGCAAAAGCAGGAGCCGCAGTAAAGAATTATCGAGCTACTTTGGCGGCTCGTGCTCGATTCTCCCTCGCTTCACCCACCTGCACCAACGCAGCAATGGATACAGCAAGACCCATGCGTGAAGGCAAGGCTGTAGGCGCCTCCCAAATCCCAAGCATGGCGTGTTCACACTCATCACTCATCTGGTATGTATAAATATATATATATATCCCATTACCAGCAACAGTGGAATGATGATGATGATGATGATGATGATGGTTAGGTTGCAGACCTTTCTCAAAAATAGTGATACTCTTTTGCCCAGTGCTACAGGAAATGGGACACTCCCTCCACTCATCTCAAATTCTGTTTCCTAGAGAGAGGTCATTTCCACGGGCCAGTGGGGAGTGTGAACGGTGGTCCCGATGTGGGCCGAAAAGGCATGGATCTAATCCAGGTGAAGTGAAGGCTGGCGCAGCCACAAGGCTTGGAGTATGAAGAGATATTGGCAAGACACTCGTGCTTGTTTGAACATCCCTGAACGTCCTTGTCGACTTGCTGCAACCCATAGCTCACTTATGCTCCCTTCAGTCATGCAATTTTTTCATCTCACGCATCTGGGTATGATGGCATGGCTCGTCGAAAAGGCTTAAGCCTCGGAAGGAGCCAGCTTCACCACACAAGCTGCTTCAAAGTGTATGGGAACCTGAGGCTTGGTCCCTTACAACCAAACCTCATGTGTTGGCGATTGCTTCGCATGCAAAAAACTCCTTCAAGTCGCAGCGGCGCAGCGTTTTCGGTCCGGTCCCCCTTGTCTTTCGAACCCGGCACCAAATAAGTTTGGTTCCTGTTTGAGCAACAATTGGGGGGCGGTGTTTCATGGTTGAGCAACTCCTGGGAATCCCGAAGACCCTAAAGAAGTCATGAGCCAAAGATGGGGGCTGAAACAGGGATATCTCTCCCGTATGCAAGCCAGGACAACCACAGATCGTGTGAAGTACCACAAAACAAAAAACTGACATGAAACCTTCACCCACGACCAAGGTCGTGGTTTTGCAAAGGCTGCTTAGAATGATGAAAGCCAGCTGCTGCAACCTGAAAAAAGGAGCGCATATGTTGAATTGCCCCGGAGGGATGGCTCTCACATCAAAACTCATGCTGCATATAGATTTCTATAGAGCGCTGTACTGTGCTATCTGTTCAAAGCGCTGTGCCCAGTCATCTCCTGCCATCTTTCCGGGCTTCGGCCCAGTCTGGTGCCAGGTACTGCTCCCCTCGGAGCAGCGGAGCTCGGACGAAGCCGTGTTCACCGAGCGACCGGTCGTCGAACACACGTCCCGCTGGGAAGCTATACACCTGGGAAGAACAACATGAAACCTGAAAATGGGACCCGGAAAAAAAGTTTCCTCTACAAACCAGTGGTTTTCAGGGTCCATGTTAGTTTTCCATGGGGTAGATAGGAGTCAATCGCTTTAAAAGCGACTCCTACGGGTTGAATCTACCCGTCGATCAAACATCAGACTGCTGACGCTCATGGTCCAGCAACCATTCCAGGAACCAGAATCAGAATGGTGATTCCCATCCAAAGTGTCAGTAATGCATTTGACTCGAGGACCGCCATATGTTGTCTTCAGCGTTTGCCCTTCTCACTGTCATCCTCATGGCTTTCCGCACCCCTGAATGTGCTGGCGATCAAAGCCGAGAACTCCTGGCAAGAAGTGCAGCCACACAATGGGAATGCATGGCCATGTTTGCAGAGATCCTGATTTCTATCACTATCACTCATCATCCAAAAGGGCTAGTAGGTTGGAGGCCATCGCTATTAGGTTGGAGGCCATCACTATTAAGGTTGGAGGTCATCGCTATTAGGTTCACTGACTCAGGTGGCGCATAAAAAACAGCTTCGCCCAAAAGCTGTAGAGAGCTTTGGCCAACGACTTGGGACCCTTGTTCAGGGCTTAGACCGATGACAAGAGGAGAAGCAAGTATTTTATAAAGGTGTAAGGTGTAAGTCTTGGTGCAATCGAGGAACAATGAATCACACAAAATGATGGTGCATAAATATCATAAAACACACCAATCGAACCCGAGTTTTTTTGAAAAGACTCCACTTGACCTGTCACTCCCCAAACCCCAACAACCCTCGCTCCTCATGTTGCAATGTGTTGACACGTTGTGGTTTCAGCAAGGCACCGTAGGTGAGCTGCCACGAATTAATCGCCTTGGGAATTTGGGTCATGCGGCTTGGGTCAAAACCCCGAGCCTGGTTCACCCTGGTAGGTTGTTGACCATATCTGATAGGTCAACCAGGGTAGCCTGTTTGACCCATCCCAAATCCAAAGAACAAGCAGATTTGAACGCTGAGACAGTCTGTGAAAAGGATTGCCGCCAGGTGGATGTTTTTCGCGGGTTGGACAACTAAAGTCTCTGATGTAGTTGCGTCCAAACGCAATGCTGCGTCGCCAGCATGCAAAGGCAGCATGCTGCGATGCTCGTGCAGGCGTCCAGGTGTCCAGGGGGCGCCGACGTGGGTTTTTCTCCTTGAGAGTGGATACATGTGGATACTGTTAACGACCAAACCCATCTAAATTTGGATGATGCCGCGTGATACTGTTAACGTGTGGATGGCCGGGCGGCGCGCGTGAAAAAAACATGGAGACCTCGAAAGAAGAGATGCAGGGTGAGCAATTTTTGGGGGCTGTGGTGGGTCTGTGCAGCAATTCACCAAACGACTCACATCTTTCTGTTGCCAGGCACTGCATTCATATCATCTTCAAGCAAAACCCTGCATCTGGAAGGGCTTGGAGACGGAGAGCATGAGGTGCTTCGGGACCTTAACTTGCCATGCTCAGCAAGTGACTTTGGGGGGGCGGGACACTGATGCGACTAATGTAGCACCTCCAAAACCTAGGTTTTTGAGCAAATTGTGATCAAGAATTGTTCAGACCAGGATTGGGATTTGGAGAGGATAACAGGAAACACAACAAAAAGGTCCATACAAAGTGAGGCAACCATAGGATAGGGATATGTTATCTCAAACATTGTTCTTTTGTTGTTAGTGTTGGCTTATTTGTTGTTTGTTTCATTTTGTTTTTGTTGAGTGTTTGGGTTTAGCACCTGTTTGGCGATGTGGCCTTAAAGCTCTCTAAGGTCTATGTGCATAATTTCTGAAGGTCCAGTTGTCTGTTTAGGGTTTATATAGCACCTGTTTGACGATCTATTGCAACAGAAACTGAGCAGAATACATTTGGGCCCATACTCAACCAATTGGTCGTTCCCTTTAGCCTTGTTTGTTGATTATTGGAAGGCTCTCGTTCCTCTTATTCAACTGCTGATGCTACTGACTTACAATATCATTTGTTCATTTAACTCTTCCTCTCCGTTAGCATTCTTCCCTGCAAGCTGTTCACGGTCTTTTCAATTGTGTCAGCATGTCTTGTTTGTCTTTTCTATATACGTACTCTTAAGTCTCTTAAGTGTGTTTTGACATTGAGCACCAAAAGGATTCAATCTTCACACGGGTTGTGTTGGTCAAGTTGTTTTGTCTTGTTTTGCCTGTTCTTTTGGAACATGATGTGCCTTCTTGAGAACATTCAAATCCAAATGAAGGACAACACTACTAAAGAAGATAATGAGCTAGACCAGGTGCAAGGAGATTGATTAACTTTTATCCAGGCAACAAGTTATACATGTATTTGTGGTTTTCTCGTCATAGTTCTTGTTTCTCTTGGTTCATAGTTCTTGGTTCTCTTGGTTTGGACAAAATGCCAGCCAAGCTCATACAGCAATGAAGGCTGTTTGCCAATGATACAAAGAACTCTTCAATTAGCAAATTTCCTATTTAAACCGGTTGTTTTGTCCAAGGCTGTTTCAAAAACACTTAAAGCATATATGGAAGAATAGAACGAGACAATGATTAGCAATAGAAATGGCTGTTGAGATCAGGGCAAAATTGCTGGAACAGTGCTGCAGCTCAAGTCTGCATATCTGACATCAATCACTCAAAACAAGCAAGTGGTGAGATGAGAGACTGAAGCCAAACACTTGATTCGAAGCCAAGCAGCCAAGAACAAATAGATGATTCCGCATGACCAGGCAATTATTGATAATAAGCAGAGAAAGAACCAAATGTTGCGTGGTATTTGCAGTGTTTGTGAAGGGTTTGGGGATAGGGTGCCCTCTCCCACACCTGCTCTCTTCAAAAAAAGGGGTCGTACTCAGCAAGTCACAAGTCTTTCACTGTCAGGTATCACAACCCGAGCCTTCTATAGGCCAACTTGCACTGTAAACATCTCGAAAGAAAAGGACAAAAAGTGTCATATAATTTACTTGTTTACTTCCACAAATACAATAGTATACTTATGATACATCTATATATATATAACAAGCAGTTGTCTGCAACTGTACGTGTCTGCTAGACACCACACAAAGCCCATTAGGCGTTGATGTGCACGTGGTACAGAGTTGGCAAAAACGCATCAGCATGCCGGGGATGAACCTTTCCTGAACCGCTGTCAAACCGCTGGACTAATCCTTCAAACAGGTCACCAGCTCTCGAGCCCTTCACAGGTTACCAGCTGAATAGAATTTCTCCACGGTACAAGTCGAGGTCCAACTCCGACCAGTTCAACAATGGACGCAACTCGCGATCCCGACGCGAAACCATATGCTGCTTCAGGCCACGGCGCCCCCAAACCGGGCCCACAGACCGTGAACGGCCGTTCAGTTGTTGAGTGGAGCGCCCACTATTCGAGGGTCACCAGAACTCGAGGTTTCAACCAATGGCGACGCCATCCCAAGTCGTTAACGCCACACTTACGAATTCAAGCATGGCAGAAACATGCGCCAACATCTCCAAACTCTCTAAATGTTGCCTACAAAAATACAGCCCTGGCCCTTTCTACAACCCTCAAACTAAGGGGATTTCAGAGGTTCTTTCAGCACTAAAGCAAAACAGTGTTTGCTAGGTAAATATTGTTTCATCAATCTAGGGTCTAATCTTGTGCTGCAATGCTCAACGCCCTACACAACTGCTCGACCCAAGCTATAGATGCAGCCGGGGCACTGCGTCTTCGCAAATGCACCTGCCAATCATACGCCAACAAACCCTGTGAGAGTTTTCAATCCGTTTTTAGATAGCACTAGCACTGGTAGTTTTTGGAATCGAATCCAAAAAAGAAACATCGCTGGGCGCCGTGTAGCGCACAAAGACCAAAGGATTGGTCTTTCTGTGCTCGTTGAGAAAAGTGTTTACCCCAGGGTTTGGCAGATCAACTTCGCAGGGATGTTTCAAATTGAGGTGACTTCTTGTCTCCATCCGCAAGAGACCCAAACTGGAACACAGCACCATGAAAGCGCACGCTTTGGGCAGCACACACCTGTGGGCACACATATGAGAGCACATACATACGATCACACACATGATTGCACGCACACATGACACTACACATACAAGAGCAGCACACGTAAGAGGGTAGAGGCTGGAAAAGGAATGTCCGAATGGTGGAAAATTGAATTTCAGCTACTGCTTCGAGTGGGTTGTGACATGACCAGTGGGAGGGTGAACAGTATCATTCAGCGCTGTGTGCCCCTCGATCACAACACTCTCCGCCAAGCAATGTGCACCTACATGCGGATCATGGAGGATAGCTGCGGGCACTTTCTAGATATATTGATCACATGTATCTGGATGAAGTTGGGGAGATTACCTAGTTCTCCAGGCATGTACTGGTCTGTTCTTGCGCGCCATCCACGTTATCAGTGCAGATGCTGAAGAGCATGAAGGCCGCAGACAGTTTTTGCCTCCCCCATCAGTGGGGCCCTCCAATCACGATGGCCTTTTTTGATGCCTTTTGAATAGGCGGCATTTTGAGCAACCGCTCTAGTGGCTTCTCGGAACGCGCGAAACTCAGCAGCGAAAATGGAACCACGGGAAGAAGGCGGTTGTTCTCCGAATGGTCGAACATCGAATTGATGTTGGAGGCCATCGCCCTTAGGTTGGAGGCCAACCCTAGTAGGTTGAACATCGATTTGAACAGGCAGTTCGAGAACCGGGGCCCTTAGCTGGGCTCCCTGACAATTGTCCTTCATCACATCCGAAGCCCCACAGATGCGCGCAATCTGCACATGCGTGCATCGACCTATGAGAACCAGTTGCTTCTCAAAGGATGAGTCCTGTGAAGCACGCGCAACCGCTCTGCCCAGCAGGCCAGAGTGTTCTGGCACTCCATATGTGTCCCCCGATGGCCGATTTCAGCTATTGGCCACACGCTTCCAACACAAAATTTGAAGTCCAATATATAACAATGTATACAATTTCTATAAATTTGGAAGTTGAATTTCAGATCCACTTAGGCTAATGTAAAGCTAGGTATGCAAAACGTTGAAATTCATTCTTTAATGAAGGTTTCTATATAGAACGTTGATGTCTTGAATGTGTTGACCTTTTTCAAGTCAGAGCATCACAAATACAGAGCAAATAAAAAAAAACACATGAGAAACACATGTGAGAGCCCACATGCAAGCTAGCACAGGCAAACGGAGAGCACACACACACACTTATATATATATATACACACACATGCACGCACATGAGAGTACACACGCAAGACGAGACATGAGAGCACGCACGCAGATGCGAGCACACATATGCAAGCACCTTTGAGAGGCACATAAGAGGACACACACATCGGAAAAACCTCTAGAAGAGAAAAAGGCCTGGAAAGAGAAACAAAGGAGAGAAAACATGAGAAAAACAACCCAGCAAGCATCAAGAATAAGACATAACGAACGAAAAAAACCAGGAGAGAAAGGGGGTGTGGGGGTGCGTGGGGTTGTGTTGAAAGGCACTTGGCCACAAAGTTGAATCCGGCAGACCCTGGACTGAAAAACCTCATTTACAAGCTAACAAACCTCTAGCAACGAACAAAAAACTAGAAAGAGAAAGCACAAGGAGAGAAAACAGTTTAAAAGAGGGACCGATGCGTGAATTACGCAGAGAAATCAATGCATGAATTAATCAGTAAGAATGAATTCCGTGAACCCGACGGTATTTGTTCAGCTCTCTCAAGGGAATCACTGTGCTCAGAAAACGGCTCACAATGCAATTCCGCTCAATCAGTTAAGACCACCTTTCCGAAAAGGAGTGAAGTAATTGCCCCGACGGGATCACATGGCACACCGCAGTGGCACGATGCCGATGCACTAGCCCTTGACCTTACAGCAATTAGACCTTGGCTGAGGGAACAGAGTGGCGAAAGGGCCCAAGGAACAGAAGTGTTGAACACACGCGTTAGCACCTTACGGAAAAAATTGGCGTGACGGCTTGAAAACATCACAACTTGGCAGGCACGTCGCTTCGCTGGACGTCTCCAGTGATATCCTCAGGGCACTGCAGGGAGCTTTGTTAATGCAGGCCTGCTCCACTCCCCTGCTGATGGAGAACCCTTTGAAACAGGGGTTGACACACCCACACACACACACACACTTGAGAAGGTTGCTCCGTAGAGCGCGATTTCAGGCTGCTTCGCGGAGTGCATTAGCTCTTTAGAGTTACTGCAGATTAGACCTTGACTAAAGGAAGGTGCAAAGTCGGTCGAACAGAATTGTTGAAACAGCGTTGAACTGACTTAGAAGCATCAATCAATGAAGATTAAAAAACTGCAGGTACGCTGGGATGATCAGTCCCAGTATCACCAAGGCTTAGAGAGCGTCTTCGTTGGTGGTAGACTCTCTGCCTTGCTACCGCATCGTGCAAGTGTTCTGTACAAGTGGTTGAGGAGAATAGTAGGAATAGCTAGAGTAAGGCCCTTGGAAACAGGGGTGGGCACACACACACACACATGAGCGAGCGAGCGCGAGAGCGAGAGCACGAGAGAGAGAGAGAGAGAGAGAGAGCGAGCTCGAGCGCAAGAGGGTGAGAGGGCGAGAGAGCGAGAGAGCGAGAGCGAGAGAGAAATTGAGATTCAGAGAAAGCGATAGAGTGAGATTCAGAGAAAAAGAGAGAGATAGAGAGAGCACAGCTACAGCTACATTGGGACGGCCACGAACTCTGCACTTCAAGGTTCACACAAAGCGCCACCTGAACACCCCAAGGCTCACATAACACGACTTTCCCTGCAAAAAGATCTGCATATCGAGGTTCACAAAGTGCTGCGCCTGCCACAAGATCTGCACATCGAGGTTCACAATGCCACAAAATCTGCACACTTAGGTTCACAAAGAGCTACGCCCACTGGCACAGTGAAGTTCACACAGCATTTCGCCTGCCACAAAATTTGCACTTGCAGTGCCATGCTCTTGGCAACCAAGCACTTCCAAAGACAAGTTCAGATACCAAAACGAAGCTTTCGCGCTCTTGTCCCACATTCAACCACATTCGAAAAAATGAGCCACAAGTCCAACGCTCACGATTCACTGTGCCTGCCATGGAATCTGAGCATGCCAGAGACCATCACCAAGTCCAAAGTACTGCACCTGCCACGAAATCTGCACATCAAAGTAAAATGGCTCGGATATTCTGCGCCGGCCACGAAGAGTTGACTTGAGCCCATCAAAACACGAAGATCTGCATGCGCACTGCCACAATGCCACAAAAGTGACCAGCAAGTCTGAAAATGTGCACGGCACCAACGAGAACACCGTTGCGGAACAGCCTGCGGCCTCGTACAATGGAAGTACTGCGCCTGCCACTTAAAGCAACCATTATGCAAAGACCGTGAAGACTTCAAACCACTTCAAATGTATATAATATACAGTGTATATGTATATATATATACATATTTTAACATGTGCGGAAAGAAATATATTTGCCACTAATGCATACACTTGTCAACATGTGTGCTGCGCCTGCCATGAAAATCGAGCCAGCGACCGGCGGCAATACCCCTGCCTCACCCTGAGAGTAAGAACCCCTTAGTTCCGAGCAACCTGTTCGGGAAATACAAGGCGAACGTTGAATTGTCAAAGGCAGCGGAAGTGGGTTCAGCACTTTGTATCCCAATATGTGCAATGCAATGCTACAGTGATACGTGCGACTACAGGGTGCTTGAAGGTGGAAAAGATATGGAAGAGAAAGGATTGCATCCTTCAAAGATCTTCACAATGCTTTGAGGATCTTTTAGGTCAAGAAATGCTGTGTCCCCTCGCCTGCCATCTCTCTTTCCTTGCCGGTTCTCAACCACACTGACACTGGATCAAAACTGCTTGAGCCACATTGCGAAGTCCGGCCGATCGTTGAAGTCTCTTGCAGTTGCCACACCGACGTGGTGAGTTCGAACGGTTTCGCAAGCGAACACGGCCATCGATGGCCGTATCGATGGCAAATGATTCTGTAGCTTCCTTTATGTTTAAAACTCACAGCGAGTAGGTCGAACCTTCAGCCATCAGGTTCCAACCACATCAGTCTCACAGGGAACCTCTATGGAATGGATGCGAACCATCGAAGAACCTTCTGGCACGAGCGAAACGAGTGACGAGTGAACGACCAAACGAAGAATCTCAATGAAACTGAAGGTGTTCCGAATTCCCCTGCAAGAGGCACCAGCCTGTGTCAATGTGGAGAAGCAAAGCAATCCCACCAGGAGCGATACGCAGCAGTGTAAGCGAGTGTAAAGCCACCTCAGCAATCATGGCAAACATCTTCCAAGACAGGCTTTGAACAAGCCGAATGTTTAGTTTCAGTAACGCATCAAGATTTGCATTGGAGCATCCAAATCCACTTGTGCAGCAACATCTGTTTTACTTTTATGCGCATTGTTGGCAAAAAGCTTTGTGGTAGCCAGCACCAATGCCCTAGCACCTAGGTGTGATGGAGAAAATTGTAGTAGCGAACGGCCGTATCAAACGCGTCCTGCCCAAAAATAAGGAACAGGCAATCTGGATACCAAGTACAAAGGGCTGCTCTGTACGGGCTACCAAGCGACAGTGTCAAGCTCCGATCTTAGGCATAACCGCCCGCTCAGGATTTATGTATATATATAGAGTAAATTTAGCTAATTACATGATATATGCAGAAGTCTTGGAGGAAGCTCCAGAATCATATGATATATTGGGAGCTCGATTCTTTCGACGCATGTCTGAGTTTCAGTGGAGCGCCATGGAGCGCTTGCAAGCCGGGCCACGGACTAGCTACTACTTTGCAACGGTGGGTGGGAAGAGGTCGCACGACCCGTGAGGAGTCATGTTTGGTGGATTTCCCGACCTCATCGGATTGTTCTCAGACATCCACATACCATCCCACGACTCGGATCGCGAGTCGAATGACTCGTCAACTCGCACCTCCCAGCTGCATCTGCAGCAGTGGCCACCAGTGCACGGTCATGGCAAAGGGCCTCGGTCAGCCAGCTCAAAACATACCAACTCCTGAGCAAACTATGTTGCAAATTGCTGAAACATTCCCCAAATTACTCCATAAATTTGGTGGCTTGAAATGATGGTTTTGGAACTCTCATCCCACAAAGAGAGCCCCGACCAATCATTGCCACCCAAGAAATTGTACTGTTGTGTCCTTTGCTGCTGCTGATTTAATTATGCGAAACCACCGGTTAGCCTTAGGTTGGCATTAAATGAATGGTCGTTCTCAATGAATGGTCGTTCTCAAAGAACCGCACGGCAGGCTTTGACCCATCCCGACATGGCCTCATAGTCATCGGAAAGCGTTTGCAGCCGACCATGAACTCGAAGCACCTTCTTGGATTCGGCAAGGGAACACCATGAAATCTACCCAACGTGTCCTTCCGTCAGCATAAATTACTGATCGCCCCGGCAAAATGGTTCCCAAAAAACCGCAGCATCCAAAACGAACCATGGCAAGAGCTCCCACTTCAGGGCACAAGACAACCAACAGGAACGTTAAGGCACCCAGCTGTTTCCAGTCATCAGCACTCAGAGTCTTTCGCAGCCCCGAGTCGCAGTCGCAGCTTGACTATGCAGAACAACGCTATGGCATGAAGTGAGATTTGAGAGCCAAATGAACTTCTTCGCCCGTGCTCTTCTGCGCGAATGTCCAAGATTTGCGTCCAAACCATGTGTTGCATTTCCCCGCCAAATTGTGACTACTAAGATCTACAGTACTACGCTACCATCTTCGCCCCCTTATCTTGGCCAAACCCGCAAAAACCCTAACCCGCATGGCTAAGCAAAGCTTGCTTCAAGCTTGCAGGTTCGCTGGGGCGCCTCATAGCACTCGGCCAGATGCTTCAGCCGGAGGGCCTGGGCCCCAAGCTCGATCTGAACGCTGGAGCGAACCAGCACAAAGGAACAGGAAATAAGCATTGTAGACTTGGCTTTCCCCGGCCTCAAATGTTCGACCTGTGGCCTGATGTGGCGTGATGAAAACCTGTCGACTGATTCTTCTTTCTGAGCGCAGAACTGCAGCATCTTCAGTCACAGAAGCAATGCGACGAATCCTTGACAGGAAGTGGCATCTAAACAAAAAAGGGCAATAAATACACAATAAGGCAGGACTTGACGGGTAGACTGGAGGCAGGTGACGCATTAAGGTGTTCGACACCTTACAAATCCACAACACAGCATAGCACAAAGAACTCGCTCGGCGACTTCCCCGCTCTTCTGAGGAAAGCGCTGGTGCAAGAAGGGCAAACGCATACGATGAAGGTAGATCGACAGCCTCATATCAGGCTTGCTTTGGCATAGCTGCAGAAAGCACACGCCAGACTGCATAGAGGATTGAGGAGCTATGACCTAGTGGCCCTTTGAAGCATCGGATTGACGTGCAATTTCTCCTCAAAACTAAGCTCACAGGCCCCAGGACGATTGTCAGAGAGACGGCCAGCACGGCCTCTGACACGTGGCGAGGGCGGCCAGGGGTCCATAGCCGGCATCTATGGGCTATGTGTGTACCACTTCAGTGATTAGTTGGCAGTTCACGCAGTTGGCTACTAGGAACAAGGTTCGCTACTAGGAACAAAGGGCATCGCTACTAGGAGCAAGGACGCTACTAGGAGCAAAGGGTATCGCTACTAGGAGCAAGGACGCTACTAGGTTCCCTACGAACGGAGCAAAAGCACGCTTCCGCAGTTCACGCAGTTCCCCAAAAAACATCACCCGCTACAGAATTCTCCATGTGGGGCCGGGGTTGGGCCGATCCTTTCAGACCGGAACCGGACTCGAGTCGCACCTGGCGCCCACTGGCAGCAGCAGCACACAGCAGGGCGGCAAGGACCTTGCCAAGGAATTGCCCGACCGGTCGAGGGATTCGAACCCCTTCAATTTGAGAAAAACACGTTGAAAACTCGGCAACAAACATTCCAGACTTCCTTCAATCATTCCAAAGAGTGAGAGTTTTGCTTTTGAGAACCTTCCCTCATGACACGTCCACTGAACTAGTCCAGCCTGTGCAGCGGCTGCAAGCCCCCGCGCTAAGGGCAGTGGCCTTACAGATAACAAGCTCATTCCATCCCCAGGATGGAAAGACGTTGTTTTTCTTGCTTTTGTAACAATAGGCCGGCCATTTTTTCAGACGAGGAGACCCAGGCATCCGGTGGAAGCATCGCAGCTGTTTCGCGGTTGAATCTAAGAGACCTTCCTCCAGCTGGTCAGATCTCAATGAATCCTGATTGGGACGTCGTTGCATGGGATTTGCCTCACATTGCATTGTGTTGCTTGTGGTTCATCATGTTCATAATTAGTTGTTTTGTGTCTGTTTTTTGGATGTCAGCCCTCTCGCTGCCAAACCTTTACTTTTCGGTCGCTGTCGTGAGGTTGCGACCCACAATGCTCAACAGCTTCGTGGCATTGTACCATCTGGGAGGCTCCAAACAAAACCGATGCAGGAAAATGGTGCCCAAGAACGGTAAAGAACGAGCCGTGCCAAACCGGGCGATATGTGCGATCCATGGGGTGGACATCGGTGCGGATCGATCTGGGGCGGCTCGGTCGTCGGATTCGAGCCGAGGTCTCACGGTGTGCCAGGTGCGGGTGTTTGGCACCTCGAAATGGGAGCGCCAAGGTCTCGGCAAGAACTCATCTGCATCAGCCACATCCTTGAGAAGGCTGGGCCTCATCGACAGAACGAGAGGTGAAGAGTATTGAAGAGTGAAGGACGTTGATCAATAGTAAGGTTGCTTCTAACTCTCAGTTGTGCAGAAACGTACGGAATATGGAAGAGTACACTTGTGGGGCCACATCATGTGTGGATTTCGAGCTCTTCGAACGTCCCTTGTCCAAGGAGTTCCATTTGTGATGCCAGTTGGCGTCCAATGCAACTCACAACTCTTGAAAGCTGCTGGACGTAAGTCCTGCTCCCATATTTTGTATATACCTAGTACACTGACACCAACCAAAGGCAAGTCCTCAAATCGGTCACATGCCTCTTTTGTAGAGGTTCAGGTGCCCCCCTTCAGATTCAGCCTGATGAACGAATCCCAACCACAGCAATCATGCCTTTCTCGCAGCGGAACCATGTCTGCAGCCTGATGGGCAAATCGACTTCGAGACAAGCTCTCCGAGTTGGAAAGGATAGATGTGGAAAATGAAGAAGGAATTCATTCCACAGGCCACGATCACCTCCGCTTCCCTGTAATGTTTGATTTCAACAAGCCAAAGCTCAAAAAGGACTCTCACACACACATGTGGTCCCGGCCTGCGGAAAAAGGCTCCCCTCTGCCCAAAACATGCTAGCTCCTGCAAATCGAGTAGATCAGCACTGGCACATATTGGACTTGAAAGAAGCGTGGTGAACCATGGTTCGTACCATCATATTCAATAGAACCATGAGCTCAATGAGCTCAATGACACGTGTTTCCTTCGGTCGGTCATGGCGCCCAACGGATGAGCCGAAACGGGAACGAACCGCCCCGACCGGCACCGACCTCGGGGGATCGTCAGTAACCCGATTCTCATGTCGTCTCCTCCCAAGTCACCAGCTGCAGAGAGCACTGCCTTCATCTGCTTTTCAGCATTTTGTTGGCTGGCCTTGTGTGCTGAAAACGAACGAATCCAAAACCCACCTCCGAATCAGTCTGATTCGCCCGTCCGTTGCTTTTGGCGAAGAAAAACTGCGCACGGGAATCAGCTCTTTTGGGAGACGGAAGCAGGTCGGTTCTCAGATCTGAAAAACCAGCCGCTCCTGAGTCCTCTTGAAAAAGAGTGGTAAACGAGTAAACGAGTGTGGAGGACAAACGAAGGGAGTAGAGCAGATTGGCAAGTCTATACTGAATCATTAACAGTCATGAACCTCAATCAAGTGACGAACAGTGCAGCAAGTCTGCGCGTCACTTGCTCTGATCGATCAGAATGTCCAGCCTGCATACCAACATCAGCAGCCAGGCGAGCCTGGCATTTTGTGAATCGAACAAATTGCGAAGCCACCTCCACTCGTATTGGTCAAATTCGATGGAACAAAACAAGTGATTGTGTTGTGGTTGGCCTTCAACTGTCATGACTCTGAAAGCAATGCCAGCTGAAGATATCGCAAGAACCAGGTCCAATCCGCCCTGCACTTTGCAACAAATGCAGATTCGCTGCAGCACAAGCGGCATGTGAAATGTCTTATATAAGTGAACTGGTCAGACTCTGCAACCTCCGTTGCGCACAAAGTTCTTCCACTGCCCTAGCACGCCTGTGATACTGAAAGCAGTGGCAAAAACAAGCAAAGTCCAGCTAGTGCGGCCTGCTTGTGCCATGGCAACAATCTCTCAAACCGCAGGAAGTGTCTCACGAGTCTCATGCGTCATGGGGATGGATACTTGTTCAGACACAAGCCTTTGCCTGAAAGCGCCGATCCAAACTGAATATATTGATGCAGTTCCGCCCAGGGACACCAACCAGCAAGTGATCTACGTATATTTTTTTCAAAAAAAAAGAGTTCAAGCAAAGACCAGAACAAAGGGGACTGCGGCGAGGCATCGTAATTACTCACCTATTTTCGCACCAGCGAGACTTGCTGAGAAGCAGACCTCCAAAGAGTTGGTGGAAAGCCATGCGGGCCTCAAAGCACATTCCTATGGAAACCTTGCCATGTCTCTGAATGTAATTAGTAGTCTTTCTAGTGACTTAAGTGGTAGTTTTAGGCTAGTTGCAAATGAAGCTGTCGTAGTGTCCATCGGAGAAATGTGTTCACACCCAACTGCTTCCCATGATGTCCTCTGTCGACCTATTCGGTGTCCGTCTGCCGCATCCGTATTAGAACTCAAGATTTCTCGGACCACTTGATCAAATCAAGACAGCACTGGCACCGCCGCAGAGTCTGCAGATGTCTCGGGGATGCTGGAAAGTTTCTCTCCACTGCATGGTGGCTGTTTTCTTTACGGTTTCTTTTGTCAAACCAGCATAGTAGAGCGCCAGCAGCAGGAGCTGGAGGAACTTTCTTTTCTTCCTCCCATTCTTTTTGACTATAGATAATACGTACCATATTTTCAAGGGGGTTGATGTGTATAGATGAACGTGATACAACTAGTGATGGCCTACAACCTACTAGCGATGGCCCCAAATATATATATATACATACATACACTGTAACTGCCTATTATGTAATTGCCTCTACAGCGTTGCTGCACAAGGCTGTCACAAGGCTTCCTATCGTCACTCCGCTTCCGTTCAGTTGTCTTGTTGTGGAAACGCTTTCTATGAAGAGAATCCGCCTAAGCTTGCAGGTCGTGGAGCTACGGTTCTTGTGGAAGCGGAAGCGGGAGGGAAGGAGGTCGTGGCGCAAGAGGCGAACAGATTTGTGGAAGTCATCCACATCATGGGTCCTTGCCGCGGGGAGAGTCCACAGTTGTCCGTGTTTCAGAGTTGCAGTGTCTTTAAGTTGCAGTTTTAAAGACATTGAGCAATCCAAAGAATAGAAATCATCATGAAAAAACTGCTGAGCGATCTTTCAAAACAGGGGCCCGACAGGTCCGTCTCATCTGTCACGAAAGCTCGACGTGGCCTCACAACTACTTAGGAGGTGTCGAGACCAATGGAAATCAAGATTGCTGGAATCTATTTCTACTTGGCAACTACTTGGCACTTTCAAGGTGGCAGGTCACACAGCTTTCTAACATCTGGGGTGAGCCATCGTTAGGGGGGCTGGTTTCATACATTGCTGCTAATGTATGCGGATGGGGGTGATAGGTGTTGAAAAGGCAATATCGAACAGGGGGGGTTGAACATAGGGAAAAAGGATGTCTCAATACAAAATATGCATGTTTCTTGTTCCCTCGGTGTTTCTGGAAACACTATGAAACACTGCTTTCGGGATATGTATGAACGGCAGGGGAGATCAAAACATGAATGTATGCACGCGGGGGTGGGGGTACGCACTCACCTATGCACATCTACATGATTGGTGCATTTGCGGCCATGTGCGGCCGAACAATTGTTAGGAAATCGTTTGAAAATTATGGAAGCTATTTCTCTCTGATAATGTATGAAAGCAAGGGGGGAAACTGCCGTGAGGCTCCGTGAGGAAGCATACTTGTTCCAGGAAAATGTATGAAAGAGGGCGGGGACATCCATAAATTTCATGAAACGTACAACTCCCAAGTAAAAAGAATTATATATGTAAAATCACTTTTCCGTGAATGAAATTTGGAGACCGGGAAATGTATATTGAGAGGGGCGGTACTCCCCCCCTTGAATATACATTTATGTTGCCCGGTGATCATCGTTGTCCAGCTTTGTCCCGCACCCGGGCAGCACAGGCACCATTGGTCTGCTGAAGATCTTTGGCAAAGAGCCTCGCAATGAGAACTATCGTTCTATGAGACTCAAAACCAAGGTGTATATGCAAACCATGTGTCACTCGAAAGAAAGCTTTCCGCTTCAGGTGGTTGCACTTGCATTCCTGTCGGACAAAGGCGATCAAGACTCGAACCACACCAAGCGTACTTCGACTCCCAAGACTTGCCTCAATGTGACAAAAGACTTGCACCTCCCCATACCTCCCCCATGTTTCTGACAAAAACCACGTAATCCTGAGGAAGCGAGCACAGTCTGACCCCTGACACCCTGGATCACCCTGGCATCCAAGCCGAACCGAAACCGCGCCCACGAAAGAGACGTCTCACCACCGGACCAGCATGGCAGGGCAATTCTCTTTGGTATGTTCTCTTGCTATTCCTTATCAGTCCTTTTGCCAGAGAATTACTAGAGAACACACTCTATGTGCAGGTGAAAGAAGTCCTACCTGCAGGTCACAGCAAATAGATTAAGGACACCCCGTGAAGCAAGTTTTTCTGATATGTCACCTGCATAAAATGCGTCTGGCTGAGGTTCGCACGTGCCCTTAAGGCAGCTGAAAGGTGAAACCGTATTTTGCCATCACGGAATAAAGTCAGATCAATTCTGTTCCTCCTCCACTACCCGAATCAGCGATTGGAACAGAACCGACGCGAAGAATCACCACAAGTGTAACGCAGCGGCACACGAGATCGAAACGGCTTCATCCGCCTCCATCGCCTTGACCGCCTTGCGCATCTTGCGCTTCATCGCCATGCCTCCGGCGCTTTCGCCGAGAGCCGAGCGGCTGACCGTGCAGAAGTCGAAGTGAAACGAGTGAGGAAAATACAACGGCTTATAGAAAAAAGCTCCGTAAGGGTCCGAAGTGAAACGAGTCTAAGGAGTCTCGATGCTGAAAAATGACTAGACGATTCCCAGAATTGGTTTTCAGGCAAACACTATACAGGAAACCCACAGTTTGGGGGGATGAAAACCATGCCATGGTTTCCTGCAAAAAGCTCCCTTAAACCAATACAACATAATACAACTGCCCCATTCCGCCAGTTTCTACAAACCCAAAGGTTTGGGAAAAAAAGAAACGCGTGCAGGACACCAAATGGCTCCAGTCTTTGAAAGTGTCCAGTTTTCACTCCATTGGGCTGCTGGAATCTCGCACCTCATTCCACAATCTGGGCCATCCGATGAAGAGCGAAACTGAAAAGGCTGGGCTGGATGGAAGGGATTTGCTGTTTGAGCATCGCAAGAACGTGCTTGGCTATACCAGGGTATTACGTGGTGCAACACCAATTCCGGCACAAAACCACCCATGACCCGCGCCTCTGCAAACGACGCGAACCTGATGCGAGGTTCGACCCTCAAGTTTAAAATGGATCTAATGAATTGTCCCAAATTCCCCTGGGGCGGATGACCAAACATCGTTGCCACAAATTAAAGGAGAGGCTACAGGTTTGACATAGCTCCAATTGCTCATTGAGTGTGCGTATCTATAGTCATACTAGTGTATGTTTGTATACTGGATAATATTATTGCATATTATTGCATATTATATTGTTATAGTTATATTACTGTATTACATTATACTATATGTGCATGGCGGGGGCTTCTGTGGAGGCGAGACGAATTTCGCGGCTCTGTAACCAGCTTGTGCGCCAGCGAGTCTGCAGGTCTGCGCCATGTTTAAGTCTGCGATCTGCGCTCTTTCGACGCCAAGAGAAGCTGGGTGAACCATCTTCGACCTGCACATTGCACCAGGCTAGAAGGCTAGAAACTGTTGGATGTTTTCCTGGACGACCGCAGTCATACAGGAAAGCACCAGGCCATTCAGTGTGTTCTTGCTGTTCATGCCTTTCGTTCTGTTCGCTGCTAGACCTTCCCCGTCCAAAAATACGTGTCCTTTGGCGCCATGAATCAACCGTCCAGCGGTGCTTTGGTCATCACCGCAGCCTCCTCTGCATGAACTAGGCCTCCCAGTGGTGTGAAACGAACCCTTAATTTGGCAAAGTTTCGCACAGCCTGGCTAAGAGCCGCACACGTTGAACTTGAGGCTGTCTCAACATGCATTGTCTTCTTGCCCGCACGGGTTGAATTCATGTTTCAAGCAGTCTCAGGATCCAATTGTGAACGGCGCGACGGCGACAAGCTTAAATCGTTTCGGGCCCTCAACTTGATTGCGGCATTGGGAGGTTGACTTGAGCACAACACTTGGGAGGTGCGTCAACCCTTGAACTTGATTGGACACGTTACAAATGTCCGTTAAGTGACCTTGATACAGGTCAATCGATCTGTGGCACGTTCACTGCGACTCGACGTACCTTTCCGGTGAAACGACAAGACGCGACCCATCGATGCATCGATCAATCCGGCGGCAGCCTATTTTAGTTTTGTTGTGTGCTGTGTTGTTTCTAATCATTGTTGTTTGGAAACCCAAACTGCTCTCAAGTGCACTCCCTTTGTCCTCCCAAAGCTAAGTGCATCTTGGGATAGGAACTGGAGCAACCCAGTAAGATCATGAAACCAGCAAGCCCACAGTCGCGCGCAGTGGATGCAGCAAGCTTCATGTCATCAAACTCCTCACCAACAGAGCCAGCCACAACATCTCTCCCCCAGCTACGGTGGTGTTGGGGCACTGTTCAATCTCATTTGGCGGGACAGCGAAAGTGACAGAGGAGGAAAGTCAGGAAAGTGGCAGATCAGGCGCCAAGCCAAAATAGCAATGTGTTCAATGCGGCTCTCCTAAATATCCACCACAAGATACCATAAAACAACACAGAATGAATGTGCGTGTGTGTTCACCTTTAGATTTGCAAAAGGCTACGGGACGATTCTGGGAAGCCAAGCCACTTGAACTGTCCAAGGACGATTGTGATCTTGTAACCAGCTGTTTCAGGCGAAATATCAGCATTCGTCCTGCATATCTACTCGACTCCAAGTTCCTTCTTTTTGTAGCGGAATTCTTACTTTCTCACAGTCTTGGTGCAAACAAGTTGCCATCTGTCATGTTCATCTCCTTGGAACTTCAAACTCGGCCATGTACTTTCATGCTCTTTGGTCTGACTTGGCCCTTGCATACCTTGTATGGGGCTTTTCTCAGAACAGGCACAAGGTTCGTGTAGTTCCCTCTAGTCTCTTACGTCTCTATACAACAACAGTTTCTAGATCAGTTAAGTTGTTGTTCCGTTCGAGAATCTGGCTAGCGAAAGATAAACTAAAGTCAGTAAAGTTCAACGAACGTGTCAGACCCTGGCAGCCAGCCTGTGCTTGTGCAGAATAAAACTGCTGCCATGTCTTAGTGCAGGATCTACATAGACAGCGGCCCCAAAATGAATTCTGCGTACAGCACACATATTTTTGGCTAAAGGTTCAAAGACCTGGTAGAAGTGCACATTCATGACTTCAGCGCACTGTTGATGAACGTAGCACCAGCGCTTGGGGGCAACCTTAGGACAAAACACTGAAGTTGTTGTACGCGAACAACGGAAGATTTCATGTAGGAAATCGTCGTCGAACATTGTTGAATCAAAAGCTCGGTAATTCCCGTGTTAATCAAAAGTGCCAAACTCAAAAGATCCGTTCCTCAAGTCTGGTAGAACAGCTGTTCATGTTTTGTGGTAGAAAGGTTGTCTCTAAGCTTGAGTGGCTCAAGTAAGTGGAGAAGTTGCTGGTTCCAACACACACACAAATAAAGATAGACTCAGTAAAGCATTGTACGATTTGAATGCCACCAAGCCCTGACAAAACCTCGGGAAGCACCCTGACGTGTTCAGGTAAATGCAACGGTATGCAAACGTGCAAGGTTCAAAGAGTAGAAACTTCCAGGACTCTAAGTTCTCCAAGTTTTGAGGTGATCGAAATCAAAATGCAGAGCCAGTTCAACATCATGATCGACTGACGAGCACTTGTCTGCAGAATGAACAACTCGACTGCAAACAGCTAGTCGTCCTGACCTAGTTAAAAGCACGGGCCAATAGAAAGTCAAAGGTAGTCACAGCAGGCACACATCAAGACATCTCCCCACACACAGTATCACCAGAGAATGTGGATGTCTTTCTTCATCTTCATTGGCAAATGGTTCCACAAACTCTGTCACTGCTGAACGAGCGTGCATAATACAAAATCCCGCAAACCTATGAATCCAAGGTGCACATGCGCACATACACTCAGGATAAAAGCATGTACAAGCTGACTGCGGTTTGCCACACACCAGGAGGAAGTGCAAGTAAGGTGGTCTGACCATGACTCTAGACATGCAAGTCTCAAACGCCAAAGGTGCGACGAGATCGACAACGAACGCTCACATCTGCCGACCTGAGATCAACCTGAACAGCCTGAGAGTAGAGTGGGACGTAGCTATCAACATTCACAAATGGAGCAGGTACGTCACGGTGATCAGCCGTGATATCCGCATGTACTTAGGCCGCTTCGTTGGACCATCGTGCACAGTCATCCATGTCCCCCTGTGTTTATACCAAAAGGCAACCTGTGAGTCCAACATGTACACACACACACTCACACACACTTTGATACACTGCTCAACTGAATGAGCATCCGTTCAGTTAATGATTTCCGATGCATCAGAAAGCTACCATACTATCATTAGACGACCTGGCAAATCACCTGTGGAAATGGCCCTGTAAAAACCGCAAGGTGGAAAAGTCCGCAACACACACCACACATACACACAAACACACAAACACACACACAAACACACACACACAAACAAACACACTCTGACACTTGTATTCAGTGACTCAGTTACCACGTTGGGAAGGAAGGTGATGGAACAGCAAGGTGGAAAGGTCAGCTGAAACTGTATTGTTGAACAATGTTTGCACTCGCAAGCGGCGGAAAGTGAACCGGCTGCACAGCTGCTGGGGACGAGTGTTTATGGGGTGGAAAACGTGAAGAACCATGAATCAAAAGCGGAAGATTGGAGTAACAGCTTGTGAAAGAACGAGCAGGTACGTCGGCCAGCGTCCTGGCCGATATCCTCAGGACACTGCAGAGAGCTTTGTTAAGTGGAGCTCTGCAGGCCTGCTCCACTCCCCTGCCTATAAAAGGTGGTTGTCCAAGGTAGTTGAAAAGCATGGAAAGAGTGGTGGTGGAAGACCCTTTGTCCAGGGGTGGACACACACACAGAGCCGTTTTCGGCGCGGTCAAAGTAGTAGTAAGGCCAGGGGCCTCCAGTAGCGTCCTAACTCCCAGGGGAACATTTGTACAAAAAGCGCCAAATTGTTGGCGCAACGAAGAACTAGTAGACACCTAAAAAGCCTTGGAAAGACAGAAAAAGCAACGAAACAAGAGCAGACTAAGAGGGCAAGAAAGAAAAGTAGGGTAGTTACGAGGCCCACTTAGTTAAACGAAAGTAGAAGGCGAGCGGGACATTCGTCTTAAACCGCCCGGGTAGCTAGCAATAGCTAGGAGAAACAGAAGGAAAGGCACCAACACACAAGTGTGTTGAGTGCGATTTCCTTCTGTTTCCCGAGTAGCGGGTGGGATAGCAGCGGAGGCCTGGGGGTAGGGAGGGGGGGGGGGGGGTGCATGATGAATTCATCCGGCCTGTGAATACTTAGCAGCGCAGGCAGGTGAATACTTAGCCGTCAAGTATGTTCAGGCTCGTGGAAAAACAAACATGACTTGGAGAAGTGAACATGACGGATCCGAAATCTGAAAGCTGAAATCCGATGTATTCTTCAAGAACCGTTTTTTGGCCCGGCGGCCGGTATGTCAGTTGATTCGGTGAGGGTGTCGGTGCCTTCCTGTGAGAGTCCAGTGAAAGGTGGTGCGTTGGGGTGGTTGCTTTCCCATGCAAGATCGGCGCCCCTATGACGGGGATCACACTCAGCACCCGAGTGGGACGGCTGAGCGAAACACACTCTGACACTTGTATTCAGTGACTCAGTTACCACGTTGGGAAGGAAGGTGATGGAACAGCAAGGTGGAAAGGTCAGCTGAAACTGTATTGTTGAACAATGTTTGCACTCGCAAGCGGCGGAAAGTGAACCGGCTGCACAGCTGCTGGGGACGAGTGTTTATGGGGTGGAAAACGTGAAGAACCATGAATCAAAAGCGGAAGATTGGAGTAACAGCTTGTGAAAGAACGAGCAGGTACGTCGGCCAGCGTCCTGGCCGATATCCTCAGGACACTGCAGAGAGCTTTGTTAAGTGGAGCTCTGCAGGCCTGCTCCACTCCCCTGCCTATAAAAGGTGGTTGTCCAAGGTAGTTGAAAAGCATGGAAAGAGTGGTGGTGGAAGACCCTTTGTCCAGGGGTGGACACACACACACACACACACACTGTCTCGGGACTCTTGAGCTATCTTGGGGTCCCAGACTGGGCCGCCCCATGAGATGAAGCGGCAACCCCATGCGATGAGGTCCTCATGAGACATCTTCTTGCTCAGCCCACTCTGAAGACTGGAAATGACTGATGCTGATGCCCAGATCTGGTTATGACTCCTCTGCCTAGACAGTTCTTGCT